TGTCCATCGGAAGCTGTCATCCTGGGCCTCCACTTCCCACAGGCAAGTGGAGTCCTGGAAGTCACACTGTCGCAACCATGGACACGCCCCCGCTGTTATCCTGACGTCATCGACAGCTATTCCGGCGTTCTCGGCTCCTCCGGGTTCTCCGCGCAAGCGAACCTGAAGAAAAAGGGAGAAATCGTTGTTACACGCAAGCAATTTAAATCATTATGCATTGGTAGCTTGGGTTATATTATATAGATGTATAAGGAATTAAATGTATAGAATAACAGACAGACCGATAGACAGAAATATGCAAAGCAGGAATAGCTAAGGTAACTAGATAAACAGTTATACAGAATGGCAGAGAGAGAGACTTGTATAATCTGATGGAAAGAAGCGTAATTAAAAAAGATCAGACAAAAAATTATATCCAGTGACCTCACCTCGAACTGTCCTGAGGTCGTTGGGTTGAGCCAGGTCTGGGCATAGAGCCAATCCTTCGACCCCCATCGCCCGTCCAACAGTAGAACTGGGATGTCGTCTTCTTTATTGAAGTCCTAACATCGATAACAAGATTCCAAAGTTAATCCGATTCCATTCCGTTTCAAAGTATATGAAGAGTGATGCCAAGATGAAAAATATAAATACAAAATAGCCACAGTTTCATAACCACGCACAACAAGCCAGTCACACAAATCGTATACCCTGCTTACCTTCATGAATGCCTTCAGTGTCCCAGCGTCGGCAGTGGGAATACGGTACCACAGCGAGAGGCAGGAGGCTTCGCTGTCGCCGGGAAATCCAAGGGAAGGCGTCTCTAGCTTGGCATGTGTGGTTTTAGAGCCAGGTAGGTACAGCATGTGGCCTGGCGGGGATAGGGCGTGCGTATTAGGCGTGTCGGTGGATAGATGGAGAAATGAGGAAAAGGAGAGAGAAATAATTGAATAACTATTTTTTTTACGAAAAATGGGCTGGTGATGATGGATGATAAATGCAGTTTGGTGATGATAATTATCTGAAATACAAGGGTATCATTCGAATATATTGCATTCTGCTAATCACAAACGGTTTATATTTCTCTTCACCTCGACTTTGAACATAAACGAATCCCCACACTCTTTTAAACGGGAAGATTTGAGTATATTGGAAACCATGCACGTACTGAGCGCCTTTACGGAAAAAGCAAAACAAATGGAGACGGAAGAGGTATAAATGGAAAGAAAAATGTACTCATTTTATGATTTAAGTCTTTAAGAGAGTACAGCGGGGTCAGTGTGAACAATAGTTTTGTTCCTGATAGTTTTATAAAATTCGTTTCATCATCTCACAAGATTAGGTATTACCTATTTTCCTTTGCCACATCCCCCGCCCCCTCCAACCCCCAACCCCTCTTTCCTCTTCATCTTCCACCCTTCCAAAACCAGCTTCCTTTCAGCGTCTCACCATCACCAGAAGACGTCGTGTGGTCGAGCGGCGGGTTGGTCCCTTCGGCCGCGTCCCAGCCTGCCTTGACCTGCCACCCTTCTGCGACCTCTTTCATGCCGCACAGCCAGTCGCCATCGTCCTCGAAGTCGCAACTCCACTCCGTTATGACCGGGGGTTCTGTCTCTGTGTGAGATCATTGTTTATTTGTTTATTAGCAAATGAGCATGTCTGTTTATTTTGCTAACATCACCTAATTTTGAGTTCTTAATGATCAATAACTTACAACATTATGCTATTTCGATTTCAAAATATTGAAATCCCACCACGACTCTGAAAATTCCGTTGCTCACCTGGCGCCTCAGAGGGATACACCGCAGCTTCAGGAGGCTGCACTCCGCACGCTTCCTTGGTGACGGTGATGTCATCCAGGCCGATGTCGCCTCCGCCGGCCATAAGCACATTCCCTTGGAAATCGACCCAGAAGTCCTCCTCGGATGTTATGCCAACGGACCCGTACTGCCACGTTTCACCTCTGTGACGTAAGAGATTAGTTCTCAGCAAAGCGAATTTCGATGATAGTTATTGTATCGGGGTTGTATACTGATAAGAGTAGTTATCTAGATGCATAACAGATCCATAACTACACGAACTGAAGAAAGAGAAAGAAAAAAAACTTGCAGGTAAAAAAAAAGGATAAAAAGAAAACGGAAACAAAACAAAACTAGAGAGAAGAAACCAAAATCGTACTCAAACGAACAGAGCTTCATCAGAACACAACCAGACAAACAAAACAAGTAAAACAACCCCCCAAAAAGAACATCAAAATTATCCAAAAAAAACATCAAAATTATCCCCAGCACAGTGACCCGAGTCCCACCCAAGCCCCAGCCGCCCTGAAGCCCGCAACCCACCTGGAGCCGAAGAGAGACCACACGATCCTTTCGCTCCCGGACACGCCGCCGACGATGTTCCACGTCCTGACTTCCAAGCGGCCGACGTGCGAGCCCTTCATGAAGTAGTAGAAGGAGAGGCAGTAGGCGCCGAGGCCAGGGAGGAGGTGCGAGCGGAGGGCGGCCATGCGTTGTCCCTCGGCCTCGTCGGAGTCGGCCACAAGGTAGTGTCCTGTGGTGAAGGGTGGGTGCGGGAGAAAGGGCGTCGGTTGTTTACATGTGTCTAATATCTGTTTACTAGTTTGACTGGTAATATCATCATTATCACTATTCCTGTTATCATTATCATCATTATCATTATTTCTATTAATGATATTATCAGTATTACTCAGTTAAAATTATTCTTATTACTATTGCTATGATCATTATCATTATCATTATTATTATTATTATTATTATTATTATTATTATTATCATTATTGTTGTTATTACTATTATTATCATTATCATCATTATTATCATCATTATTATCATTACTATTATCATTATCATTATCATTATTATTATTATTATTATTATTATTATTATTATTATTATTATTATTATTATTATTATTATTATCACTATTATCATAATTTTCATCAATCAGTATCATTATTATCACCATCACGTTCATTATCATTACTGTTATCATTATCGTCATTTTCACGATTATGATAATTATAATAATTATTACTATTATAATTTCACTTATTTTTATTCATTTACGTCATATATAGCTTTAAAATGGTTCGCAGATTGGTAATTTGGTGAAGGTATTAATTACTGCATGATACTGAAATTGCTAACAGTTCAACTGCATTCATGAAAGTTGTTTTTTTTTTTGTAATTTACCTTCTAACTATTTATTGTTTTCATAATGAATTTATGTCACGCAAAATCTGCACGCAGGTAAACAGGTAAAGGAATATTTACATGTTTCGAAGCGTCAGCTCACAGACACACGCACACACAGACACAAACAAACACAAACACACACACGTACACACACGCACGCGCGCGCGCACGCAGACACACCCACACACCCACATGTGTGTGTGTGTGTGTGTGTGTGTGTGTGTGTGTGTGTGTGTGTGTGTGTGTGTGTCTTATGTGTGGTCAGTAAAGTAGGCCGGTGTTGTTTATTTGGGTTTCAGATAGTACAGGTGAGCGAACTCATTTAAGCATGACCGTTAATGCCACATCAAAATAAGATGGTATTTGGCCGTAGAGTTTTGTGATACTGGCAAAGAAAAAATATATTTTTCCCTTTCAACATGGTTCTTAATCATACATACACACACACACACACACACACATACACACACACACACACACACACACACACACACACACATATATATATATATATATATATATATATGTGTGTGTGTGTGTGTGTGTGTGTGTGTGTGTGTGTGTGTGTGTGTGTGTGTGTGTGTGTGTGTGTGTGTGTGTGTATGTGTCTGTTTGTGTGTGTGTGCGTGCAAACAACCCTTGAATAGCGTACCTCCGAGGGGGTCGCTGTCCCCGAGTGTGTAGTCGAAGGGCGGGCCTGCGTCAGGAGAGCTAGGCGAAGGACCAGCGAACACCAGCCAGTCCAAGTCGTCGTTTATGTTGGTGTTGGACCAGCCGCACGTGTCCCCGCCCTCGAACGTGCACGTGGTGAGGACGGTCGGACACTCCCCCGCGAACACTGCCACGTCGTCTACAGCGTGGTACGTAGTTCTGTTGTCCTGGAGGATGCCCAGGATGGCTCGGAGGGTGAGGTTGAGTCGGGAAGGCATCGCTTCCACCGAACTCCACTGATACTGAGCGTTAGAACAAGACTCGTAAGGAAAAATGGAGGTACAGACAGACTCTCACTCAGCATAATAATCAAAATAAACAATAGCAAAATATAGACCTTTCTAAATCATAAGTTTAATAGATCCAATCAAATCGCGATGACCACCTACCGTCCCAAGGAACCACTCTTCGCTGAACGTGTTGGTGTCTTCTTGGTCGAAAAGTAGTTCTTCCTCATCCAGAACGACCTGTAATCGCTGGCCGCCCCTGCCCAACATGCGGTACCACATCCGGAAGCAGACGGCGGCGTCGGACGAGAGGGTGTCGGTGCTGAGGACGGGCAAGGTGGCGTCCACAGTGCCCCCCGCACAGGCAGCACCCTCGCACGTGACGGCCAGTTGGAGGAAGTGGCCTGCAGTGCGCAAGGAGGGAGAGGTCAGTGTGCGTGGCAAGACGGGTTATTGCCGTGCTTTATTTAATTACTGGGTATTATCTTGCCAGGTGCCATGTTGCATTCCCTGTCTCTCTTTCTCTCTTTCTTTCTTACTCTCTATCTCTCTTTCTCTCTTATTCTCTCTCTCTCTCTCTCTCTCTCTCTCTCTCTCTCTCTCTCTCTCTCTCTCTCTCTCTCTCTCTCTCTCTCTCTCTCTCTCTCTCTCTCTCTCTCTCTCTCTCTCTCTCTCTCTCTCTCTCTCTCTCTCTCTCTCTCTCTCTCTCTCTCTCTCTCTCTCTCTCTCTCTCTCTTTCTCTTTCTCTTTCTCTCTCTCTCTCTCTCTCTCTCTCACTCTCTCTCTCTCTCTCACTCTCTCTCTCTTCTCTCTCTCTCTCTCTCTCTCTCTCTCTCTCTCTCTCTCTCTCTCTCTCTCTCTCTCT